ATCTTAACCCTTAGCTTGGTGTTGTCAGCACCACGCTCAGCCAGTGAGCAAACTGGCCATCACTGTACAGGATCCGAACCCACGGCCTTCCTGTTATCAGCACCACACTCTCCAAGTGAGCCAAGGGCCGGCCCCTAGGGGCTTTCACTTTTGACTAGGTGTAATGGTTGGAGAAAGGCCTCTGAACAGTCATCCATGATATTATGGGCTCTGTTTTTCAGGGAATCAATCCTAGCAACCAAGAAGTATCTGTGGAGACCAATAACTGTCTAATGGCCAGGTTCTAATTTATTAAAGGATCCACCCCTCCTTACCCCCCCCACCCCAATGGAATATATCCATAGAAGAGCCTTTAATTATTAGGGAATCAGGAGTCATAGTCCTTTAATTCATACCCCTAGTGTTATTGTTTGTCATCTTTCTGGAGGATTGGGATCTTTTCAGCAATTATTAAATGAAAATATTTGTATTTGATGAATAGGGATTAAGTGAAATATACATAAACCATCACCCAATTCTCATTTGCTTCAGCCTATGCTTTCTCATCAAACAAACAAGGTTCAGAGCAAAAAGAAGACTTAGTAGACTGTAATTATAGTAACATTCCAGAATCCATCATATCTTCACATATTTATTAATCATTATATAGTATCTCTGTGGGCTTTTTCCTCCGTTGTTCTTCTGTTTCCTCTGAGACTCCTTTCTTCCCAGAGATTCTGTCTACTTTTGACTCCTTAGTTACCATCTCCTGCTTTCTCCTAAAATAAACACACAAGTCCTTTCCTTTAAGGCTTTACTGTTTTAATCATTAAGAGGAAACAGACTGTAAGAAAATGAACAAATATGGGAGGTTACCATTTTTATGGTAACTACCTGATTTTTTATTTTCTGACTCATTTCTTATATGGTCACAAATATCTACTTTATTTTCCTTCGAAGTCAATAAATATGTGTTTAATATCTTTGGGAAAAATTGAGTGTGGAAGTTAATGAAGCATTTTACTTTTTCTCTTAGTAGCATTGATATATACAAACATCTAAGGAACTGAGAAAGAGCTTTTAACCTAATTCTGTATCTCCTTTCCTTGCTTACAAAGAAGTCTCGCTAACAGATAATCTTAGGATAACTCATGGATTTGTTCTGTAAACTCACATCATTGTAAGGCTTATCAGCTAAAGTATCTCCTCAGTTTAGGCAGTTCTTTTTTTCCATTTATCATGTGTCTTCCATT